AAATACTCCATATACTTCTTTATTGTCATTTATCTTTCTTGATTGCCCAAGATCTGAAACTGACCCATAATTTTTATGCCATAAAATGTTTCTACAATGAAAGTCCGCATGAATTAATCCTAATTCATGAATTTGCTTCAATTGAAATGAAATACTTCCAAGTGAATTTATTCTTTCTTTCCATTTCAACGATTGCCAATTATTTTTCAAATAATTTACAAGATCTCCACTCTCAGCATATTGAAACACCATAAGATATTCACCTGTTTTAGGATTTAATGATAATCCATAAACATGAGGTGATGAAAAATTTGAATTACAATTAACATGGTTCTCAAATTCTTGTAAATTTACAGTTTAAGTGCTACCGGTACATGTTTTTTTGATTTATCCAATCCAGTTTTAAACATAATTCCATCAAGACATGTAGCTTTGTATACGGTTGCATGTCCACCCTTGCCTATTTCTTTAATATCCGTTAAACAGTCATAAGAAATCCATGCAATCATTCTATCATACTCACATTTTAATTGTAATCTTTTCATAAAATAGTCAATATCTTTATTACAACTAGTCCAGTTTTGAATAAGTATATCAGGATTACACATTTGACACCAATCGGGATCTGTATTGTTTTCATTACAGTTCTCACATTTGTCATCTTCATAACGATCAAAAAAATACCCTTTCATATTTAATGTGCCTTCTAACAAATCTTTAGAATAAAAATAATCTTCTTCTGTGCCATATCCATATCTGTAGCAAAATGCTTTCTTAACATTTCCCATCTCAAAACTGGTACTTGCGGAGTTCAGAAAGTATTCGAATGCTTTATTTCTATCTTTTTTGACATAAATTCCCAAATGATAAAATTCCGCTATCTGAAACATTCCTTCACCGTCTCCAAAATCCGCAGCCTATTTGTAAAAACCAAAGGCTTTTTCTAAATTTTTCTCAACATCAATGCCAAACTGGCACTTCCATCCCTGAACGCACAACTCTTTACTGGTTGACATTTTTTGTACGTTGAATTTATTCGGCCAGTGTGCGCTTTTTTTAAATAAGCATAACATTTCCACTATGACCAAATAAATACAAATTAAATGCATAACAAATACAAAATCAAATGATATCGCACGGTGGAACAATAAAATTTAAAAAAATTGCTTAAGAACTGTTTTTATCTCTTATTATCTGTTCCTGTGCTAGTGAATTTTATTTTTAGGCACAAACTTGGCAGCTACGACAGAAATATGTATTATATAATATTGCAAATAAAGTATACGATTATTTATATAGATATCAGATTTGTACTGTACGTGCTAAGAAATTTTCGAAGATATTTATTACAAAATTGTCTTAATAAACGAATCACATTTGATTTTTTATTTTTATTTTCACATTAAGGTAAGGAAGGATTAAGTTTTAGGGAAACCTTCATTTGTAAAGAATTTCTTTTACGGTTCCGTCATAATATTTGAATGCTGCTAAATTAAGTGAATTTTTATGTTCTCATAGCGATGGACTTGCCAACCGAAAAAAAATTGATATTACGTTATTTAATTATACATACAATAGGAAATAACCAATAAATCAATTGTCTATATTACCGTTTATCTGTTACAATGAACGTTGAAATTAAGGATAAAGAAAGATACAACTTATTAATAGTTAGGAATTAACGCTATTAATCTTAGTGTGTGTTTCATTAATTTTGTCCTAATTGTGCTAATGAAGTAATAAGATACGCTTTGCTTCACAACCACTTTTACATAATAGTAATTTATTCTTGTCTATTTCAATGAATGATGTGATTAAATAATCTATTTTCAAAAATTATTAACAACTAAATATTAATCATGTCTATTATAATATCTTTAAACCTTTTTCTAAAAAAAATGACCACTCCACCATTATTGTCTTTAGCTTTTAAACCAATGAATGGAAATATTTTTTTTTAATTCCTATTTAACATTTTGTAAAGGAATCTAATTCGATATTGACTATAATAATGACCACTTCGGCAGCTTTGCTGAAATTTTATAGAATCGCATTTCTATAATGATAAAAATACGCCAATCAATATTTGTTGATACTATTCAAAAATTTATATTCTTTCTAATATTTTTTTTAAAATAAAATTTGATATAATTCGCTAAGTTATAAAATAAATAAAATTAGAAAAATAATTATTACACACCTACGCCTATGCTATGTTCATAATAATCTCAATCACTAGGTTGTCGAGCTACAGCTGTTTTCATAAATTCTGGAACACCTGAAAAAATTGTTGATGACCGAATTGATAGCTTTTACCACAAAATCCCGAAAGACATA